CCCCAAAACCCCAAAACCCCAAAACCCCAAAACCCCAAAACCCCAAAACCCCAAAACCCCTTTTAAGAGGACATGAATGGACACTTATAAACGAGTAGGCAACAATGACCACTTTTTGGCTTAAAAATTACAAAAAATTCCTTTTAGTTTGGATATCACTTCTTAGTTTGATTTCATTTATAATATGTGAAGAAAGACTCCCGAAGTGCTCTTTTACTCAATCATGCATCAGAGAACCTTCTCAGAAGGGGACTCCTTGACCTGATCCTTCAAATTCTGAAACTCCAGTTGCGCAAGTTGGCTTTCCAAAGATGCCTACAACTTCAAGGAAATATTTAGCAGAAGCCTGTCCCTATCTGCTTGATCAGGAGCTATGCTGAAATGACGACCAGATTTTAGTAATGTATAATAACTTCAAAACTATTGACTCTTTGTTTGGAAATTGATTAATCTGTTCTATAAACCTTAAGAGATTCTGGTGCGAGTATACTTGCAGTCCTTACCAGTTCTATTTCTTAGATTCTCATTCTCAAGTTAGAGTAGATGATGTTGACTATCCTGTGCTGAACCAAACAATGAGGATGGGCAATGACGTAGCTTGAGGAATTTTTGAGTCCTGCAAAAAGAATCCATTCGTCGCATCCCTAGCTAGTGGGCAATCAGCTCCAGGGTTCCTAGAGTTTATGGGAAGCAATGCTGTCCAAACTGGGAAGGTAAAAATCTCCTTTGATTTCAGCAGTGACCCTGAAGAATCCATGATACAAGATATGTATGCATGTGATATGGAAGTAGAAGATAGATTAGAGGACTATTATGTAGAAGAGTGCACTTGTAATTACTGAGAGCAAGCATGCAAGCCTATAGACATCGACACTTTCCCTTCCTTTTTTGATGGGTTCAACATTCTTATCGTAGCACTTGTTTACGTCACTCTCATTATACTATAGATCATAATATTCTTTGTAAAAAGAAAATGGCTTATTGATGACGATGAAGAGGAAGAAAATGAAAACTTCTCCGAGGGTGATGATATGTTGGGAAAATATCAAGAAAATGGAACTTCATCATCTCATGAGAGTGTACAAAGATTGATCAATGACACTCAACCTCATGATGTATCTGTTTTAGAAGGCCGTATTAATTCTTCTTCAATTCCCACTGAAAGTAGGAACCAAGATAGTATGAGAGGTTAAAGATTATGAACTTGACCTTACTCTACCAATCAGAGGGTAATATCTATAAAAAATTGTCTAAGGAAGCTCTGACTTAATCAGTTTGTCTAATTGGCTTTATTATATTTCTCGAATTTAATGTGGTAATTAGCGCGTCACGTGATTTTCGAAGTTCAGTTTGTGAGCTAAAATTGGGGTTTTGGGGTTTTGGGGTTTTGGGGTTTTGGGG